TGTCCAAGAGATCGCGAATGCCTCTCCCGTTGCCTTCGGACGGCGGCGACATACCGTCCGACAATTACGCGAACAGCGACGAACCTAGAAGCGCGAGAGGCCCGTACCTAGCGCCCGACGCCCAATACGAGGTGATTCAACAGGGCCGTTACTCTTATTACGCGTCGTCCAAGGACGACGAACAACTTCAGGAAGGGCCAGCCACTTCGGGATACTTCAGAGGAGGAGAGGAGGAGGCCGAGAGGGGGAGGGATTACAGGGATTACAGAGGGGGCCAGCAGGAAGAGGAGACGCCCCAGTGTTGCCTGAGCGACTCGACCACGTTGGACTCGGGTTGGCAAAGTGGCGAGCAGCAGCAATCAGATGACAACGTTAGACCGGTCAACGTGTGATTTATTTATCGATCGGTGGATGGGATGGAGAAATGGAGTGGTTAATTAAATTAAACGTTGAGGGAGGAGATAGGGGATAAAAGAGACCTCGATTCATCGTACAATTTACTATTATTTTGATTTGTAAGAGAGAGAAGGAGAGAGGATCGTTGGAAACTGTGCATTACGTAGACTTTTTTTTGTATTTATACGCCATGGAGATGTTCTTACGAAACACGATCTATCTACGAACTAGCCGTTAAAACAGAACTAGGGAAATTGTCCACGTTAGAATAGAGAAGATGGCGGCGAAGAGTGTAAAAATTTATCGTATTTAAAGATAAAAATAGAACGTAAGCGATGTGATTTGTGGTACAGTGTAGCTTAAAACGTAAACCTTGATTATTATAGAGCGCAATCATGGGATAAAAGAATACGCGCGTTGGATCGTGCTTTTCTCACGATTTACGTATTATTATTATTATTATTATTACTATTATTATTATTAATATTAATATTATTAATACAAGTCTGAAAGTGGGTTAGAAAAAGAGTAGACTATATGCGAAAGAGTAATCGTGCGAGAGATCCCGCGTAACGATGTATTTTTATTAATTAAACGATGTCGCCCGTGTTGTTCGTAATGTTAACCGCTAAAAAATTGTGTGTTGGTAAAAAAAAAAAAGCGAGAGAGAGTTAAATTTAGTCTCGTAAGCGATGTGTCGAAGAAAAGGTCTCTGAAAAAAAAAAAGAAAAAAGATTCCAAGTTGATGCATCCAATTGAAAAAGAAGAGACCTTTGCTTTGGCAATTCGTTAGAAACGTCCATGTACAAACGTGTGCTTTATTCTTGCCAATATCTCGTTAGACGTCGACTCGATTTCGCACTTAGACGTTAATTGTCGGGAATATATTTACCATTCGATGAGTTCCAATGTTGAGCACGTTATTTTTTATCGTATCATTCTCGATCACTGCCACTTCGAACAATCGTTCTTTTATTCGCAAAATTCCGTATGGTATGGAAAATATATGCGAAATATGGGAGAAATGTGTTTGCACGTCCACGATTTGTTGAATCTATATTCGAAATTTTACGATTTTTTTTTTCTTTTTTTTAAGGAAAGTATTTATCGCACATTATATGTCGTATAACATATAATAAATACACCCGTGCTCGTGATATGTGTTAGCTTCGTCGAGCTTTTTTTCCGTTGTAAGGCCAGATTCGATTTTCGATCATACAAAATCCCGGTGGACCAAGAACGACGATATATAAAAGAAAAAAAAGAGAGATATTGATTTTTATTGAATCGAATACAATTACAAAAGACGGAATATCGATCGAGAATATTGCCGTTCGTTAAGAATGGCACATATATGCGGATATTTTATAATCAGAGAGATTGAAAAACGAAAGAGAGATGGGGTAAAAAGAAGGCCAGCTTAGAGGAATAGTTTTTAACGTTGTTTACTCGATAAAGTGTACCTTAAGAGCGGATACGTAGCAAGTCGAACGATACATTGTCGAACGATGTAACTAACTAACGATTAAAAAAAAGGAAAAGAAAAAAAAAAATAAAAATAAAGCTTCGTTTTGTAAAGAAAAGCACGCGTGCCACCCTCGATGTATCGTATCGTATCGTACATAAACCGTTCCCTTTGCTAAGAGCGATGAAAGGATTGGCATCGCCCAATGTCGAAAAATATCCTTTCACCGTTCCTCAAAGTTCCTCCAATTGAATCGAAGAAACGGATATGAACGCGATATACTAATTGTCCCCCGGGTCAACGATTTTATCGTTGACCGATATGTCGTTGAAACACACCCAGGTAACCATTTAAAGAGGAATGTCGGATCTATGGCAGGCCTCTATTGTCAGCAATTTCCTTAGAGAACTCCCTTACCGCTCGTTGGCCAACATCAGATTATAAGATTTCGCAACGATCGTTGAACTTTTGCAATACACACGTGTGCGGACACGGGAGGCCAACCCATTGTACGTATCCATATTGTTCTCGCTCTCGACAGGATAAAAAATGAGCCAATAACTTCGAGCCAATCGATCACTCATATATTTGTACGTTGCTTATTCGTTTCAAGTTCATGAATGAATTACACGATTAGACGTGTAACGGCATTATATTCCATGATTTTTGAAATCGTATCGAATTTAAAAAAAATCTATCCAAAAAGGAAAGGACTCGTTTCTGGATCGATTATAATACGGTAAGTGTATATTTACATAGAACAATACAATCTCTCGAGATGAAACGTGTTTCTCTTTTTTTATATACACTTCGAGATCGCATCTAAGAAGAAGAAGAAGTTGGTCGAGAACTGTATGATGCTGCTGCTGAATCATTTAATTAACAGAGGTAAAAGGAACGTGGCGACCGAAGTTAATAAATCGCAATTAAAATGTTTTCTAGGCCCGAGTCTTCGGAACGATACGATCTTTTGGAACGAAGGCTCGTTATAAAACGGTTTTAAACCCGTTCTTTGACTCGGCTCGGCCGTTTTGAATCGTCCGTGCACCAATTGTGCTGCAATCGTTACGGGTAGTTAACAATCGGTTTCCATCGGGCTAATTAACGAAACCGTCAATGAAGGAAATTAGTAAGTAATTTCGTTGAGTGGAACTTTATTATTATTGCTATTAAACGATGCATCGCGTGATCAGCATTGCTATCTAATCTTATATAAACATGTAATTACATATAAACGTAATTGATATATTTGCATATATATATAATGTGAGATCGACGATCGCTGGTGAATTGTGACGTTAGACAAAGAGAATAATATCGAATTTCAACGTCTCTTTCCAACTTAACGTTTTTCAAGAACAAGATCCTTCGGCCACGTGATGGGCCGCCTGATTTGCCAGAAATCTTTCCACCCTTTCTCTGAATTCATTGCTCGATTCCGGCAACGGCAATCTCGGCCCCGAATTCCTGAGGTTGTGCCGCGCCGTCAAATTTTGCAAGCTTTCGGATAATCTACGGTCGTGATCCAGAATATCCGGTCTTGGAGCCGGTGCCTTCCGTTTCCCTATTGCCGTTTCATCCAATTTTCCGTTTCCGCTTGTCCCATTAGCGTAACTACTTTCCGGCAAACGATTCATCATTCCTCGAAGGGCTATTCTAGCGCTCAGGGCGGACCAAAATGCCTCGAGGAGGGAGGCGACGAGCACGTTCACGGTTAATAAAATTTTAGTGTGCGAGGATTTGCGATAATCCGTGTACAAGAAGGACATCGTTCCGTCGTTCGTCATCTCCAACGATTCCTCGGTGACATTTTTCCTCAAATTCCCCTCCCCTCTTCGAGAGTCGTCGAGAGTTGTCGAGCTCGGATCTTTGATTTCAGGATCGATCGTCGAACTTCTCAAAATGTATCCGGATATGTTGGACATGTTATCGAGTATAATTCCAGGCGTGGGCGAGTGGAAGTTGATTTTTGTCAGATGTTCGAACGTTTCGGTGTCCCCATCGGACGAGGAGGCGGTCTCGTTGTTCAACAGAGCGTCGTTTCTCAATTGTTGGTCGAATGAATTTTGTTGGTCGAAAATTTTCTCCAGGGACCACAAAGGATCTCTGCTCTCCGCGGCAGCGGCGATATCGAATATCGTGGCGACAAAGCAGAGGATGGCCGCCATCAAGGAGAACAGACTTCCGTAAAAAAAGATGGCGATGTTCCTGTCTATGTACCATCTCCTCCATGCGAACAGTCCGGTCACGAAAGGGACTAAACAGGCGACCGATAGGATTGGACCTTGAAGGGATAAGGCCAGGCTGCCCAGAAGAAGGGAAAGAGCGCCCAGGCCGAAATGCACCAAGGACAGACCTCCCACGGTCGACGCCGAATAACGCCGTTCCGATGGGTAGAGGGAGGACAACGGTGGTTTCGTTTTCACTTTTATCACGTACACGTTTTCCATCGTTGTCCACCGATCTTTATCAGTTTCACGAGTAGAATTTAGGTCAGCAAAGGGAAATTCTCGATTGCACTTACGAAAATTTCGACGCTCCTATCGTGTATCATGATCGATGACGTATCGATTCGATATCACGCAACAGAGGATAGAACGAAATCTTGATCAATCGCTTTCTTCCACTTCCCGTTGAATGAAGGCCGCTTGACCGTGAACGAAATAATATAGTGTCGAAAAAAGTGAGAAAAAGGAAGAGGCGACACGGATTTTCACGATCTTCGTGGCGAAGACTAATTTCACCGTTACTAGATTCAGAGATCGTGACTATTCGACGACCGCAACGCGGAATTATTGAAATGCAAATTGGTGAATTGTTCCATCCAGGCAGAAATGGACGATGATTTCCGTAGCGGCAGAAGCAGCGAGCAACCAATTATGCTAACCGCTTGGATTTAATTGAAATCTTCGTCCCACCGTCGTCCCATGGATTTCTTCGTGACTCCTCTTGTGGCTGCGCTTGTGCAATTCGTTTTCTAACAATGGTACAGGAGGACAAAAATTCAGAGGAGAAGGAAGAGGCATGCGCTTGTATCCAATAAACGTGAAACGTGGAACGGTAAATAAGGTTTAACGAACCTGACGCTTCGTCTTTTTTCCTTTTTTTTTTCTTTTCCTTCCCCTTCCTTCACTGCGAATATTATGCAATAACAGTTGACTACGAAGGCGATGCAATTATCTCGTTGCACGCGTGTTTTCTCATACGACGTGTTTTCACCGTGATTTCTTTGTACGGAGCCGCACTGGATTTTCAATCTCTTGAGAAATCATCGATCCAGTTTCCACGTTCGTTTTGTCATCTGTTATTTGCCGAGCAAATATTTTCCCTTTATTTTATTATTCTATTTTATTATTTCGTGTTAAGCGAACTTGTACGGCCAAGAATTCACTTCTTTCGAAGTTAATCGATAATATCGTTTCTCGATCGAGAATATTCATCGAACGAACGGTGTAATTAACGATTGATTATACGATAACACGACGATAACGCGCGTTTTTTCGAATCCGAATCCTAATCCTAATCCTCGATTTCGATAGATCGAGAAAGGAATCTAAGAAGAATCGATTTCCGATCGATCACTTGGCGACTAATTTGACGAGAAACAGAAGGTTTGCCGCGAAAGACACATCGGCAAAGACTGAACGAAGACTAGTTCGGGTTGAAATTACTACGAGAATCTGAGCAGGCCTCCCACGCGGTCGGTTTTGCAGTGAAAGGGACAACAGAGGAGAACGATGGATAGATGAACCTTCGCGTTGTTTTATGCCTTCTTCATACCACTTTCCATGGTCATAAAACGATGTCACGCTTGCGAGAAAGAAATGCAACCAGCGTATTCTCGCCTCTCCTTATGGAATTCATCGTCGTCATCGTTATATCGAGTATTGTATATTCGTAAATTTCCCACAATCGAACGATTATATTAATTTGCACCCAATATACATTCGATGTTACAGTTTAGAGTTAAACTCGTGAGAGAGTTAACTCATGCTGGAATCCTCGTAGTATCGCGCTAACCTTTATTATTCACGGGCTCGGCACCCGACCTTTTCTTTTCGAACAGTCAGAGCAACTGCTAAAGAGTAAGTTTCCCGGTTAAATTATCTTCAGAGAAGAAGTTCGAAGAATAATATTGAACGACACGAATCGATTAATTTCGTTACGATTGTATTTTTCGAATATTTAAAAAATTTGGACGATAGGCTACAATGATCGAAGATTGAAATGGTAAAAGATTGGATGATTCAGAGAACACGATCAGAAACGAAAGAGAAAGAAAAATGACGCACGTTTGAACGCGTGTCGCTTGAATACGCACGTGTGTGTAACCCCCCCGTTTTCCAATGCACGCGGCCTATCATCGTGTAACATCCTCCTTCTCCTCCCGGGCGATCGTTTCTTGTTTTAAGCGGTTGAGGACGAACACAGAGGGACAACGATCTATGACTGAAATATTCAGAAGGGAAATCGCGTAGAAAAATAATCGAAAGAGAAACAAACAGATAATGCGCGTGTGAATCTCGAATTCGTCGCAAGAAAAGAGAAAAGTTCACTTTCTCGATCTTCCGGAATAATATTCCTTCTGTCGTTGATCGATCATTGGAGCAGAAAACGTGCTACACTTTCTTGGAGATTGATCGCAATTCTACGGAGAATAGGCGGCCGATTATCGTTTAACATGGATGGAAAGAAAGAAAATATGTCTATCGTGTTTATCGTGTCTAGCGACCTACTTTCTACATTTATTAAAACATCGATGAAAATATATATTATTGATGAAGTTGAGAAAAAACGTATCGCAGATACTTTTCCTGCCCTCGATTCTTAATTATTATTTCTATTTCAAACTTTTCTTCTCGAATCTTTGGAGAATCCTTCGTTGAAATTCAAGATTTCTTTATCGCGCAGTTTTTAAGTTATCTCCGAGTTTCAATTTTTTAAAAAAACTCTATCTCGACCAATTTATGCTCTTTTTTTTTAATTCTTCTATCGACTTCCACCCTTTGAGATGACTTTTCGGCCGTTAACGCGACATTCGCTAACACTGTACGAGTTAACAGTGTGCACGAAGAGTGAAAGATAAAGAGCATGTTTGTGATCGATACGCATTTGTGTTGGAGCAGCTGTTACGATTGGGGCACGCGTCCCAACGGTCGCAGCAGCTGCCCAGAAAGTTATCTATAGTACCCTCGACTGGAGTTCTTTTACGATACGCGGCATGATAATCTCGTGCATCGATTTATTTATCAATAAATTGCATTTTTCGCGTCTACTTTAAAAATAAAAAACTTCGTAGATTCGTTAAATTATCGTGAATTTTTATCGACTCTAACGTATCAAATGAAATTATTCCATGCTCGATTTTACTCGTTTATCGCGAGATCAAGTTTTCCAATGCCCTCCAATGTGCTCTGCGATGTTCAACTTCGATTCGATTTCACAAAATCGTTCGATCCATCGAAATTCATTTGGAGCGGGATTTAAAATTTAAATGTCGCGATGGAGCGGGAGGGGAGCGCAGCAAAGGTCTATATAAATTCTTGAACATACTGTAGAGGATAGCAGTAAAAACAGGAAAACGTTGGAAGGGAAGTACTATAGGTGGCAGGGCCCCCACCCTGAGATGTGACACCGTGTCCGTATTATGCGAACCCTCTGACAACCCCTCAGGTAATATGCCGCACATATACGCGCGTGTGCACTGGAGAAACGCTTGGAGAAACGCCCTTCGTACATCTGCTCTTGAGGGAACTCATGTGGCAGTTTGTTGGGAGCAACCGTGGTGCACGGATCGAACGCATTTTCAACATTCGACTTTCCCCCAACGGGCTCGTCAATTTCGTTCAACGGCAAAAGTTGCAAAGTGAAGTCGAAACGAATTTCCCGCAACAAATTCTTTTTCTACCTGCCTCTTTAAACATCAAACATCGGAAAATATCTTCGTCGGAAGAAGGTTTGGAAAATTTGGGACTGGAGCGTCTCGAACCCGAGACTTGCTATTCTTCGTGTATCGTGATATAATCGTGAAGGGTAAGAAATATTTAGAGGAGAAATAGAAATTGAAAATGTGCAAGCCACGCCACGTTCCCGCGCAAGAGATCATCGTCTCACCACCTGCACGAATGGTAACCTTCTCCCTCGAAACTTGGACATCCCCCTCCTACGTGAGCACCGCTTTGCTGATTCTCGTGAATCAGAAACACCAATAAATCGAAAGAAAGATTCAGAAATCAAGTTACAAATGTGCGCGTCTCTCTAAATAAATAATAAACTGACTCGTTTATTACCATCTTTGCGTGCCAATTATAAATATGCTTCCTATCTGTCGCAACGTATGTATCGCGTAAAGTTTCGAACACGTAGATCGAAATTGTTTTAATTAATTGCGATAAAGCTTACGAGAAAAAATGGCGGAAATATCGGAACCGGCCCCCGTGCACTGTTACACAAATCCCTCGTTTTGCCGGCAATCGGAATACATACCGGAGGATCAGGCCGGCGGTGACCTGCCACCACCGCCTCAATTTCAATGTGGCGACGATCTACCACCGCCGCCTCCACCGTTGCAATTGCAATGCAACGGTGGCCAGACGAATCCCGCGTTTCAAGAAATCGGCGAGAACAGGATCACAGAGAAGTGCGGGGAGGCAGGTGGAGGCAGATATCGTTGTTACCTGGACGGCAACAGCGTTAACAACTCGGCGCATCGAAGGTATGGAAGCGTTCCGATGGAGGAACACCGCTCTATATACAATCAAAGTTCAAGGTACGAGTACATAGAGGACGAGGAGAGGAGTCACGTTCAGAGAAGGGGTTCCCTGAGGTACGAGTTCATTCCGCGCCAGCAGGTGCAACAACGTTCCGCACCGGCGGCCAACCAAGACGACGGGCGGGAACCGCAGATGCCAAGTTGCCGGAACAACGGTGGAAGATACGCCGTTGTACCGGGTGATCAGGATTACCAGGACGAAGAAGCCCCGTGGAACACGGTGAAACGCGTGTCTTCGGCGAGGGGGCATATCAACACGCCGCAAGGTAGGTGAATAAATTCATAAATGATTTTTTTCTATGGTGAAATGAGAAAAGATGAGGAAAGAGCGATTGTTATACTTTGTAGGCCGTTATAGCAGGGTGCCCTTGCAAGAAGAGGAACCGCCGGCTCTACCGGAACGAAACGGTCAGGAACTGTCCACCTCGCCCAAGAATAACTTGGCTACGCAAAAATTGCACGAGATATTAGCCACACCCAGGAAACCACCTCGATCAAGATCCGAGGAGAGGACCTTATCTCCAAAGAGGCAATACTCGTTCAATCAAACCGGTACGCCACAAAGAAGAGCACTCACTCCAGGTGGTTCTCCGACCGGTACGCGTGTCTACGACATTCAATTCGAACAAAATCCCTTTTCAAAGAATATCCTCCACTTTTTTCTTTTCTTTTTTTGAAAAAATATTAAGGCAGATATTAAAATTCGTGTCCTCGTTCGGAAATGTAGGTCGAACGTTCAGTCCTACTCGTTCCACGCCACATGGAACTCCACAAAATCGTACATTCAACGGGGGGCTTCACACTTCCACCCCGAACAAAG